TAAGCACACACTGCACAATGGGCCATTTGGGTTGTGCTCACCATGAGTATCGAAACCCGCTTTGTACCACTATAAGCCCTCGATCTAGCCCTGAGCCACTGAGAGGTAAACTACAGAATTGTTTACATTCTGGATCTCAAATCTGGACCCAATTCCGGCGGCTGACAATATGTTGGCTTTCAAGATTTGGCTGGATTCTCCCGCAGGTGAAACTATGCAGATACATACAAGAACGATCTTGCAATTGAAGAGCACTCGTCTTCTGTGTCGTTTTGTCTTTAGATCCACTGCACTTACAGAAGAGCAGCTGCTTCAAATCTGTCTGCCATATAAAATAGAATAATGTAAATATTATTATAAATAATTACACGTCATTAATTGAAATAATTCTTTGTTATTACTGGTTAAATCTCCACAGAATCAAAAAGATTGGATCGGTCGGGTGTTTTTCTTCATATTGAAGGATATTAGATACAAGTACCAAGACAGAAATAGTACGATTGAGATATCAGAAATTAAGGTTTGTTTTTAAGTTAATTTTTCCTCGTGTGTATGAAAAAATGATTAATGATTATGAATGAAGTTAAATAAATATATAGATTTATGTTTGTTATATAGGTTTGAATAAAACCTATTCAATTATTCAGTTCGAATAGCTGGGCAAAGCCCTTGTGGCGATGGGTTTTATTGACTGGCTGCATTCCTTCTGGCTAGTAGTTCAAAACTAGGGACGGCTATACCTGAACTCCAGAAATCTCTGATCTGTCTGTTTACCCTGTACGTTGTATAAAGTGCCTTTTAGGTTTAAAATTTCCCTTCTAATTTCTTTTTGAGTAATTTGTTTTGTAAAAAGGAATTGTAATCCAGTGTCCAAATACATACGTGTTTTACAGTACAATTGAAATGATAAATCCAAAAGGTTCTACCACAGTCTTGTCTTATTTGACAATTCCCAACATAATCTGTAATGGTAATTGCACTACAAACCTAATACCACGGTTGTGCTGAATTTACTTTTTATTCTAATGGAGCAGGTGACACGTATGTCACATTTTCTGTCTTACATATTTATTGAACTTTATGAGAATTGAAGCGTTTAGAATGATTTTAACAGAAAACAAATCGAACTCGTCGTAGTGACATCCTACTATTAAACCTAACTAGCTAACCATCCCTTTAATCAAACTGTATGCTCAGGTGGTAAAATGGGAAGTTGCTACTTAATAAGCGTGTGCTTAACTCTTGATATTGGATTAGAATATTGTTAATTAATTACCTCCCTAAATTTGAAGTACAGTACGTGTTTTATTTAAATTCTGATAGAAATCTTTGTAGGGGGCTGTGTATTAATCGAGGTAAAAATTCTATTATATTTCCTATCGTGATATATTACGTAATGCAAAAAAACATATAACACAAAAAATTATCAATAAAAAACTAGAAACCGAAGGGCAATGAACTAATTTTTATTTGTAACGGAGGCCGCTAGGGTAGTTTACAAGAATTAAGCCAAGAACGCGTTGTTCGTTGACGTCACGACTCCGATTTCTAATAATAATAAAAATGAACAACAAAAGCAGTTATAACTTCCTAGTAGATATATCTAACATAGTCAACTACATATCGTACAGTCTGATCATTTTAAACTCAATGATATATCTCACATAGTTAACTACACGTCGTACAGTCTGATCATTTTAAACTCAATGACATATCTCACATAGTTAACTACACAAAGTGTAGTTAACTATGTGAGATATGTCATTGAGTTGAAAATGATCAGACTATACGAAGTGTAGTTAACTATGTGAGATATGTCACTGAGTTTAAAATGATCTGACTGTACGATGTGTAGTTAACTTTGTGAGATATATCATTGAGTTTAAAATGATCAGACTGTACGACGTGTAGTTAACTTTGTAAGATATATCATTGAGATGAAAATGATCAGACTATACGACGTGTAGTTGACTATGTTAAGTATATCATTAAGTTGAAAATGATCAGACTATACGAAGTATAGTCTGATCATTTTCAACTTAATGATATACTTAACATAGTCAACTACACGTCGTATAGTCTGATCATTTTCAACTCAATTCTTTTTCACAGTTTCACAAAGTAGTGTAGTTTCTAAAACCTTTTACAACACCGAAATTAAGTTGCTGATTACATCTTTGTTTTTATATACATACAAAAAATGCAAAGTAAAGACGTGGTGTTTCTTGATTATCCTTTATTATAGTCATTTATCTACTTAATGACAAGGTCCATTATTACCTTGATCCAAGTTGTTCCTTTACCTTAATTTTGTTTTTCGTCATATGAATTGTATGTTTTTAGAGATAAACGCCATTTAACAAAATAGTTTTTTAGGCTCGTGTCTGATTCTGTAATTTTAGTATGTGTTTGATAACTCAAGTCGCCCAAAGCAACAAACCACAATATAACGAATATTAATAATTACTTTCGGTTATCACTAGATGGTATTAAAAACAGAATTTTAATACATTAAGAAGCTAATAAATATTTGTATTAGCTCATCAACATTGTTTTAAGACGTTTTTCTATCTATACATAGTACGTAAATGTGGACATGTTTCGAGTGTAATTTAATATATAATGTTAACACAATATGAAAACGTTTAGACTTTGTGATAATAAGTATTAAAAATGCTAAATACACTTTAAGCCTAATACAAAAACACAAGTTAATATCGATACGAGAAGTTAATAGGCAAACAAAGTTTATTAAGATAAGTTAACCAGTAAGTAAAATAACAGAGTCGAAATGTTGTTACAGGTCCTGTATGTTATTTAACACCTTTTGAATAATACTTGCACCGTTAGAAAAGGTTTAATTATTATTATTATTATTCTAAACTAATTGCCCTTTAGTCTTCGGTACTGAAATATCAATTTCAAGTTCCTGGAAAATGAACTTCGTGCCCAGATGTTCTGTCATTTCTGTTGCTGTTTAAACTGCAATATACTGTTTATGTTTTTGACTGTGTGCTTTCCTTGGCTGGAGTTTCCGAGACATACAGTACGATACCTCAGGCTCTAGTTTGTAGCTAATGTGTGATATATTTTTCCTCTCACTGGTAAAAGCATTCATACTATGGAAATAATATATATTATATTACTATATTAGTATGAATACTGTTACCAGTGAGAGGAAAAAGATATCACACAGACACAGACACAGACATAGCAGCTACGTTTATATGATACTTATCTTTCCCAGATCAGTATCACGTCACCAGTTAGCGGTCCCAGAACAATTAAAGGTATCTCTGAACTGGGGTATCTATATATCACGACAGGCTCATTTAACCTTAGAAAACTTTGTAAGCAACAAAAATCACAAATACACCACATTAAATACTAAACGGAAAACTGATTAAATTAGTTATATACTTTGTCTAATTACTACTGATATCTGAAATATTATTTTTTGGGTAGAAATGCACAGCAAAAAGTTTTAAGTATCAGAGCACCTAACGAGCACGTGATATGACTCAACTAACGTGCTCTATTAAGGAATAAAGTATTTAGGTACATATTCCTCAGATAGGTAGATTAATAAAGTTGAAGAGTGTGAAATAAGATAATTTCAGAGTGGTAATTATAGGCTGTAAATTTTAACCACTTTATAGGAAAAATATTCAGTAGATGAAGAAGTCTAAGTGTCTGTTACTGTAAATATATTTTAAATTATCACTCTGAGGGAAAATTTGTAACTAAAGATACATAAATATTTCTCTTTTGTCTTAAATTAATGCTTTCAAACCATCGTCATGTTACATAAGCAAATAATTACGTACTGAAATGAATGGAATCCGCACATGTAGAAACTTATTAAGTAAATCAACGAATATTTTGGCATTAGATTGAGCGAACAATTCAACTGTTGTTGAAAGTAAATAGCAAAGATTTTTTTTCAACTTTCATACCAGGAAAGTATGTTTGTATCTTGTCAAGTACAAAGGTACACAATGGGCTATCTGTACTTTGCCCATCGCGGGTATCAAAACCCGATATATAGCATTTTAAATCCTCAAACTTATAGTTGAGTTACGGAGGAGGGGGGTGGCATACCAGGGGAAAAACGAGATCATTTTAACACACCCACCACTTAACTGATAACTTGCAGCTGTATGATAAGATCGTTCGTAAATCATAGATTTATTGGGACAGCTTATTATGGACATTTTATAAAATAGTAAATCAATTTATTCATTAATGTAGATTGAAAAGCGCCGTACAGATTTTTTTTTCAAACAAATAATGTATATTAAGATTTAATGGTCGACTTTACAGTAGTATTTAAACTTTGTATAGAAGCATGTTCATTAAAAATTCGATTACAATTTTGTACATATTGTTCTAAAATACTTTTATTTAAATACAATATTAAAATAAAAAGTTTCTTAACATAATTATGTACTTTATTTCGAAGCTATTTATTGTTTTTCTGGATTTATTCTAAAGCTTGTAATTTTTTTTATTATATTTCACAGGAATTTACTCAATTGACATTTTATGAAATTCGATATTTTAATGAAGAAATAAATTTGGCCCCGTTTTAAACATTACAGAAGCTGCTTTTCTATGATAGAAATTAATGTAAAATGTTAAAGAATTATAGTGTTTCAAGCGAACAGTTTCTTTGTTTGCATCGGATATTCTTGAAAACTAATCAAGGGCTGTCTGCGGTAGCTGTTCATTATATAGATAGAATAAAGAGATGACAGTTAGTCAACAGCACCGATTGTCAGCTCTTTGGACTACTCTAATCGAATAGTATATTCAAAGGGTACTTTTATAACACCCACAGCCCCAAACTTTGAAGACCTGTTCGCGGCAACAGGGCGTGATCCATATATTCTTGGATTTACAGCCCGTCAAGTCAACCACACTAAGTTATACCTAGCTCCATGTGAACAGGTCTTTGTGTTTATCATTTCAGATGTGAGCTAACCAGTTACAAGAAAGGCTTAGAATGTTTTGTTTATTACTTTGAGCTTTTTTAGAGGTTTTAGCTTGAAATACTATAAAGTCTACACAATAATCATAATCTTTGAAATCAGACACTTGACAAGGATCTTGAATCTAAGTGTGGAGACGATAATTCCCTGTCTAAACCAGAAAACGTCCTTGATTTCTTGATAGGAAATAACAACATTCTGGATCTTAAGTCTGGACTCGAAAACCTGTTAGACCCATATCCGGCGGCTTTGTTTGCTTTCAACATTATTACTCTTTGTGCAGTTGGGTTACTCCTGCAGGTAACCAGAAAGGTGGAACTATGCAGATACATACAAGAGCGATCTTGCAATTGAAGAGCACTCGTCTTCTGTGTCGTTTTTTCTTTAGATCTACTGCAGTTACAGAAGAGCAGCTGTTTCAAATCTGTCTGCAATATAAGATAAAATAATGTAAATATTATTAGGAATAATGACAAGCCATTAATTGCAATAATTGTAATAATTCTCTTGTTATTTTATGTCAGGAGTCGCAGGTTCTTATTTGAAGGATATTAGCTAGATTTATAAAAAAAGAGACAATTGAAATAGTACGATTGAAATTGTTAATTTAACTTATTTTTTCTTTGTGCGTATGAGCAGATTATTAATTATCATTCAAATATATAGATATATAGATTTATTTGTTACATAGACTTGAAGAAAACTATATTCTCAATTAAATGAAGAAATTACTTCAATATCATGGAATTACACATCAATGTTTATAAATATTGTTTGTTATTTTTCACAGCCAAGGAAATCGAGTAACCAGTAAATATGTTTAATATCTATCACACAGATTACAAATCTAAGAAGGTTTTCAATCTTCACTGCATCACTGTTTATATTTAGTTTAATTACTCCTTTAAGTTCTTTCCTTAACCAGCTTTTTACGCATAATGATTATTTTCATATATTTCGAACCTTTCCGCTAAACCTTAGTCTTTGTGAACTTCAAATTTCCATCTAGACAGAATATTTATAGCAACTTAATACTAATTTCAATTATTTTCCTAAAATTCACCTGATTAAATAGTTTAAGTTTTAAAAGCTTAGATCCCATTTTAGAAGAGTAAGGGGAGAGAATCGCGGGACTGAATCATAGATCAAGTATTAAATACTTAAGCTTAATCGATGCAAAAGTGTTATCATAATATCTATTTTAGTGTAGAATATAAACATATTGTTACATAATAGTAATAGAAGCCTGTGGAATATTTAGAATTGATAAATGAAAAATAAATATATGGCGGTATTTGCTAGGAGTTGTTATAAGTGGCTAAGTAACTTATTTAACACAAAACTGATATAATGTAATATCAAAAAGTCTTAGAAAGTCACAGCAAACGTTGTCCTTATATAAAGTTTTAGTTTTAGTGTCATTTTTGAAAATATACAAACGTACTATTGCCGACATGAATCTCTTTTGTAGTCTTGTTTTCAACATAATAAATATCATTTTTCAAGCTTAATTATTATTATTTTTAACTGACTGAGAATTGCTAATATTCGGAGAAGCAACTTCAACCTTCGGACACATGCTCTATAATCCATGCATCTAACATTATTAAACGTATACAGTTTAAAATTACATTAATTTTAAAAACGGGATCACCATGGCTAAACAAAACAACATGTTTGATCTATTACATTAATGTTGATGTGAATAAGTTTGATGTAGTTATAAACAAATCTAAAGCAAATATACAATACATTGTGCTTATTCATATACTTTCTGCAATATCCTCGGAAGTACAAAATTTTTTACTAAACAAAATAGAAAAACTTACTCTGAAATTGTCACTCATGAAGCAGTAAATGATTGGATTCACAAAGCTGTTAGCCATAGACATCCAATGGCAAATGAAGAAGGAAGCAACGAAAATGTTGTATTCTTTTTCATTGGTGACAATCAAGAAATCAGAGTCAAGATACACCAGTAAGTTGAAGGTTTGAATTGGCAGCCAGCAGATAGTGAAGAGGACTACCACGAGTACTAACATCTTTATGGTCTAAAAATAAGATGTACGTATATCAGCTGTTAAATGAGATATACGTATATTAGCTGTTAAATGAGATATACGTATATTAGATGTTCATTGAACCGTGCCTTGACTAATAGTTTGATTTATAAACGTTTTTTTTATTATTTGTCTAAAATTCAATTATAATATATTTCAAATCGTACGATTGCAGAGTAGTTTTTCACTACAGAACTATTTACCACCTTTCATCGTTTATTCCATCGTGTAATATACCCGAAAAAAATAATTCTCAAGGTATTTTAAATCTAACTCTGTCGTTCCAAGGATAATGCGCCTTTATTTCTGTTGGTTGGGCACTGCAAAATGGCGGGTTCCCTAATTGAAACATCTTCACCTAGACTAACATGCATTTACCTTTGTTCTAGGAATTTGTGATTCATAATTACGGAACAAAACTGTCTAACAAACCTTGATCTTGGTTTGCAAATGACGCATATCTCTGGTGACATCAGCATTGCCCGGGGTGTTGTGCTTCCACAGTTTCCAGCTGATGCAGGAGTATGTGAAGGACAGCATCACCAAAGGGAGCAAAAAGGTGACAATGAACACAATCACGGTGTAGAGCTTGTAATTAAAATCAGTATTAGTTCTACAAGAGATCGATAAAATAAATTAAATATGAACTTTTTTGTTCAAAATATATTACCGTTTGTTTTAACACTTTATCATCTCCCACAATAAACATATTATTATTCACTTCCGATAAAAGCGTGAGCGGTTTTTTTTGTTCAAAATATATAACCATTTGTTTTAACACTATATCATCTCCTCCAATTAATGTATTATTATCAACTTCCGATCAAAGTGAGTGACCTACATAGAACTAAAAATTAGCTTAGTAATAAACATAGGTAACTTAATGTACCTTTAATACTTATGGTCATTAGAAAGTATTATATTTTAAATATCTCACTGTTAGCAATATTTTTGGCTGTACTCCCAGTAACATTTCACAAGGTTCGGTCAGTTTTAGATTAATTTTAATCCCATATAATAAGGTAACGATGCAAAAGAAACCTTATATTAAAGATATAAGAAACAAGAATAACAATGATAAAAATATTACATATATCAAACTTTCTAACCAATATGAAAATAACTGTAAAGAATGAATAGAACACAGCTTACATACTAAACAGAGAAAAATAATTGTTTGCTTCGTGTACCATTACCGATTTCCAGTTCTGCGAAAAGCCTAACACATGTCTGATAACTGACAATTCAACGTATCAAATGTTTACAGTGGAAATACATGACACCACGATGTTAACAGTGGAAATTCAAGACACCACAATGTTTACAGTGGAAATACATGACACAATTTCAGTATATATTAAGCAATCCAAACTTCGGCTATCATTCATCTTTCAAACTGGCTTTAACGTTTCTATATGTGCTCATTGAAAATGTCAAAGATGAAATTTTTATACATAAAAGTGTCCTTTCATTTCTTAAACATTTGAACAACTTGGTCGATAGTTAGCATACTAAATACCTTTTTTTATAGAAAGTTTACTAATACAAGCAGTTTCGACAGTTATATTCTACAGTGTTTCTAGTTTAGATCTATAAATGAGTCGTCGAAAAATCAAGATAGGAATATGGTTATTACTTACAAATCAGAAGTCACATAAAAATACCGGATTTAATTACCCTATGGACTTATGACAAATATAATCTATTATAATTGTGCTTCACCACCAATAGGCGTTCACACCATAGAGGTTGAAAAATACCGTGTTTCAATGAAACGAAACCCTTTTACTTTCGTTAATAAGACATGAAAATCTATCAAACTCTGGGTTTAAGAATTATTACCATCTATTATTCTAATTGTGATTAATAATTAAATATAATGAAAAAAATATATATTATTGTGGTACTCTCACGTGTATATAAATATACAGCGGATTTAATTACCTTTCTATTATAATCGTGCTTCACCATCAAGAGGCGTTCACACCATAAAGGTTGAAAAATACTGTGTTTCAATGAGATGAAATCCTTTTACTTTTGTTAATAAGACATTAAACTTGTATGTTCTTGACTTTTTTATAACTTGCTTTGTTTATGGTAGTAAGAGCTAGGCAACGGCCTCCTAAACTATAATTTAAAATTTAATCAAACTTTAATGCTAATCGTAGGGCGCCGCGCACGATGAAGAGCTAGAATATTAATACTACTTATCAAAATAGTAGTTTGTACAACATGAAAGCCTGTGTTGTTATAAAAAAGTGTGTTTTTAAAACACACGTCCAGGAAATAAAATAGCAGCTTTTCTTTCCTGAATGCGAGCTTAAAAAAGGAAGCTTCTCTTCCATAATAATGGTGTATGGAACTGGTACATCGGCACCGAATTTGTTTGTTTGAAGTTTAGAGTGGAAGCCAGACTAATGTTAAATTACTAATACTAATATTATTTTTTTTTATGTATTTAACAATAAATTTATTTCCATGAATCAACAGAAATTATTGGGCTCGAAAAATTCTTGGAAAAAAGTTGTATTCTACTAGTCACATAGTTTATACAACACTTAAGTTTTCATTCAGATTTTGTAACTTCAATAAATAAGTTTATTTACGTTCATTTAGTATTAATTATCACGGTCACTAAAATTAAATTTTATAACTTAATTAGTCTTAATGAATCATTGAAATTTTGTCAATTAAATGAAATGATTTCTGTCAACAAACCACTTGAACGAAGGTTTCAAACATGCAAACGCTGAACACGCAAAGACCTTAACAATCAATATTACCATGCTTTCCATTTAGATGGAGTCATAAATATGTAGCTCACGATATTTTATCTCGTTTCTTGTATAATTAGTTGCAAGTCTCTTTTTTTATGTATTTTATGTATTAAGTATGCTTTTATTTCTATTGTTTTGTTGACATCCATTGTATGGAGAATTTGTTTGTTTGTTTTGAAT